AGACACGCAATCGCTCTCACTAATGCATTCATATGAATGTAATCTTTACTGTGCTACTTTATCTGTATCTGATTTAGAACGAGCAGAAATCTGTGAGAAATATAACGACTCAAAGACAAAAGAACTGTTAAAAATTAGCTGTTATAGGAGCAATAGCCATGTGGGCAGCGCTGTGTCATATGCCATAGCTGTGCACAAGCTGTTCGAGTCTCAGCTCCAGACTTATTTGTTCATTAATGACGTCATCAGCGACTAGTCGACTTCGACTCGACTTTCATCACATAAAAGTCGACTTTAAAAAATCAGAAGTCGTTCAACCCCTAATTCACAGACAGCTGCGGTGGTGTGTGTGGCTCTAACAGAAGAGCCGTTTCCTCGGGGTCAGGGTGTCACCAATTAAACACCTGGCAGACTGAAGCGGGCCCCGTGTTCAGCCGACAGCGTCTCACCTTCATACGGCTCACGTCTGGATCTCTCACCTCCAAATCACAGATTCCCAAACTTTTTTGTCAGCTGAACCCCCTGAGATTTTAAGTTAATATTTCAATAATTTAATAATAGTTTGTGTTCTATTTTGTTTTTTATTTAATTTTTTCATTATTGTATTCACTATTGTACTTTTTTATTATTTATTATTTTAGTGTTTTTTATTGTTTTTATTTTTAAATTATTTATTTGAATTTTATTTTTATGATTTAAGTTTATTGTTTCATTTTGATTATTTTTGTTTTAATTAAAACAAAATTAAATATACTTTTTTGTGTTTTATTTAGCATTTTTATTTTTAAAATATTTTAATTTTACATTTTTATGATTTGATTAATTTTTGACTTTTTATATTAAATTACTTATTTGAATTGTTTTACTTTTTTTATTTAAAATTTAAAATGTTAATTTTTAATTTTAATTTGATTCATTTTTAAGTGTTTTATTTAGTTTTTTAATTATTATTTTTAAATGTATTTTTATTATTTAATTTTTAGTGTTTTATTTTGATTGTTTTTATTTTTTAATTATTTATTTTATGTTTTTCATAATTTAAGTTTTGTTTAATTTTAATTGTTTTTATTTTTATTATTTTATTTTTATAAATTAATCTATTTTTGTGTTTTAATTAGCATTTTATTTTAAGTTATTTATTTATTGTTTACATTTTTTTTTGTTGATTTGTTTTTATTTTACAATTATTTTTCATTTGACATTTTTATGATTTTATTCAGTTTTTGTAAGTGTTTTATTCTGATGTAATTTTGATGCATTTTAATTTTAATTTGACATTTTTTATGACTTAATACAATAAAATCAGAAGACAGCACTGCAACTATAGATGTCTATTTATATATTCCATATCTCAGGATTCAGATGTATGTCATCTCATATATTTCAGTATGACTTTGTCATTTAATACATTTAAGGCGATGGAGTGTGACGTTGTGTTGAGTGAGTGAGCGCTCAGCGCCGTTTACAAAGCCACAAACCCGTGACAAATTCCATTTCTGCCTAAATCACTGTATCATCTAGCTAATTCTCTATGTTTTTATCATCTCATTTGGGAAGCTGTAGATGTAACGGATTGCCCGTCTGTCTCAGTTTTTGCTTCCTAGAAGGCAAAGTCTATTATAACAGACATATATATTCCCTTTCATGTGACGCTTTTCCATTTCAAACCCACGCTAAAAGTTTGCGATTGAGTGGAGTTTGTGTCATTTCCATTCATTTGGCTGTGAGCTGCAGACACACACCACAGATCGCTCTGCCGTGGCCTCGAGGCGACTGAAAGAACGCTATTGATCCACAGCAGCCCAAATCATCAAATCAATTCATTATGCTCCTCTCAGACCTCCAGCTCTGGACCAGACTTTGATGTGACGCCGCGGAGCGAGAGAAGAAAGAGAGAAAGCTCGTTTCTTTTATCAAAGAGAAGTACGAGCAGTTTAACAAACCCTTGTTGTTGTCCTGGTCACATACAGTTCTGGTTCTTGTTCTGAGCCAAAAATGAAAGTTCTGTCATCATTTACTCAGCCTTGTGTCGTCCCGAACCCGTATGATGACAGTTCTTCAATGAAACACAGGTGAATTTCTAGAGAATCTCTTGTTGATCTTAAAGTGCACTGAGAGAGAAAAAATAGTATTTTCATTTTCTCAAACTCTTGTTCATTTTACAGTTAAAATATCTAAAAATCCTTTAGATTACTTGAGAAACAGCTCTGCAGATATTAAAATAGTAAACTTGTTGTACCTTGAATGTGTTTTTGTCTTATTTTAAGTTACATTTTTATGATTTAATTATTTTTTTCTAAGTGCTTCATTTATATATTTTAATTTTAATTTTACATTTTTATCATTAACTTTTTTGGTACATTTTTATGATTTGCTTATTTTTTCTAAGTGCTTTATTTTGATTTGTTTTTATTTAATTTTAAATTTGTATTATTTAAATTTTTAAGTTTTTTTGTTAGTCTGTTTTTATTATTGTAATATTACATTTTTAACATTTAATTGTTTTTAGTGAGTGTTTTATTTTGATTCTTTGATTTTAAAATTATTGATTTAAATTTTACGTTTTTATGATTTTATTTTTTTGTTTTTATTTTAAATGTTTTATTTTTATTTAAATTTTACGTTTTTATGATTTTATTTTTATTTTATTTTTTATTTTTTATTTATGTAACTATCCAGGAGTTATTCACTCCCCGAGTCGCTGTTTCCCATTGTTTACCAAAACAACACTTTTGTCCCTTATTATTATTATAAAATAACAACAAAAAAAAAACTGATTGTTTTGATGTAGATATGACAGATGAATATTATATATTTGTGACATTGTTGAAACTCTGGCGTCTCATAAGGACATTTTGACCATTAATGTGAATATGTTAATGTAGTGCGAAAAATTATGTTCTTATTAATTAACATTTTTGTCTTGTTTTTTAACTCTACGCAAGATAGTACGACTTATTTTCCTTGTCTCTTGAATATACGTGTATTTTTTTTAAAAGTTACCAAAAAAAAATCTACCATGCAGTATAACAAAATACACACATAAAGTTAAAAATCAATG